AAAATGGCCTACACGTTTGAAATACTAACTCACCTTAAACACTTTGGTCTAGTATTAACATCAGAGTCATCCTTTCTTAAAAGCTTATCTAAGCATTTTTATATAGGCTTCTGGAATTCACCATTCACAAGAAAACCATAACAAAAAGTTACCTTTTTAATTTTTTAAATTCTTGCTGGAGGCTACATTTATTGACTTCCGAGGGAGGGGAAGAGAAAGAGAGGTGGGGCAAACCAGGGCTTTTCAAGCCCAGGAGGCTGGAGCTGCTACTGTGGTCGGAAGTCTCAGCACCACTCGAGCCAGCGCACCGCTGGGGCTCCCCACGCGGGCAGGGCTGCTGGCTGACCCACGGCAGAGAGGTTCGGGGGTCAACTTCACAAAGAAATTATTAAGTGGTGAGTGCGAACAGATAACAGTCTTCAAGTGTAGGGTGCAAAGAAAGAAACTAAGGAGACAAAGTCTTGAGAAATAAATATATTGAAGAGCTGGAGGGGAAAAAAGCAACCAATAACAGAGCCAAGGCAGGTTAGTCAAAGAATTAAACCAAGAGAGAGAGAGAGAGACAGAGACAGAGAGAGAAAGAGAGAGAGAGAAAGGAAAAAAAGGGAAGGGAAGAGAAGGGGAGGGGAGGGGAGGGAAGAATAGAGTTAGAGGAGATGGGGAGGGGAGAGCTACTTATTCTTAATTTGAATGTGTATAGAGACATATACACAAACATGGACATTTGTACTCAATGAACACATGGGTGTAAAAATTAAAAAGTCATATTTAGTGAGCAAAAATAAAAATCTTCACTATGTTTCCTTGATAACTTAAAGTAAATAAATTAATCATTCCTGTCACATTGATTCACTTATTGCATGTGGATACTCAATAAATGTTAATTGAATTAAATTAATAGCATTTGCTCGATGATAATAAAAAATTAACTCTGTCTTTTCTGATATTTAACTGTATGCCCATTGGTTCTNGGTTAGTCAAAGAATTAAACCAAGAGAGAGAGAGAGAGACAGAGACAGAGAGAGAAAGAGAGAGAGAGAAATTACTTCTAGCTCAAACATAAATTTTCTATTTTACTGACTTTTAAGATACACTTAAGTTTTTCCCCTAAGAAATATAGTTGAGCTTCTACTTTTTGTCCTAACTTTGGTGGGGTTTTTTCCGTTGAAAAAAATTATTTTTCCTACGTTAATGTCAAGACCTATCTATAACATCCCAAATATAGTTTCACATGTTCCTTATTTAATTCCAAAATAGTTTTCTCTGCAGAATATGTGATCCCACTTTTTATGTGTTTCTCCTTTTAGCTTATGCTACTCTATAATACTTTGGGTTCAATGTCAAATAACATCATAAAAGAGGAAATCTGGGGAAATTATTGTTAGCATTTCATCTATAAAAGATGGAAGATGTCAGTAACATTCACCCCAAAACTGTGACTCACTTCAGATGTCAGATTCTGGGCTAAACAGACTGGGCTCTGACACGGGTGTATGTCAGATGATTTTCTAATGAGCGACAGATAGTTCCCACTAGGAAACGAAAAAAATAAAAATATAAACAGAGATATAGAATTAAAATAACTTTATGAATGGCAGTTTAAGTTCTCCATAAAATTCTCTCAGTACAAGCCCAGTATCTCCAAATGGTTGCTTAATGTAGCACACCACTTAGATTCAAAATGCTATACTTAAAATTGTCACAAAATTAAAAAGAGAATCGTGTACCACTTGGCTATATACCGTCTCTTCTGCATATTCTTATATTTCAGTAACCTCTATCCAACTTTTTTTTGTTACTGAATTACTTTGTGCAAAAGCAATTTGAATTCCATGCAGCCTGACTACGTGTGGTAATTTGAACTGATTGTTAATTAATTCTGTAAGTAAAGAGCTGCTACAGTCTCCATACTTATGATGTTTCGTTATCTATCCTCTCTGTCTGAGCTGCTCTTTACTGTGCAGTGTAAAGTGCTGTGCCTGAGACGCAGGATTCCCTGAGTGCAAGAAGGTAGCTTTGCTTTGCTAAAACTGTTCCAGAAGAAGTGTCAGTCAAGGTGCTTGCAGGGCTTCAGGTGACAAATCATTGGATTTAGGGTGAAGAGGGTTTTGCTGATGTGCAGTCTTTACAGCTAGGAAGCAGAAACAAAAGCTACAAACAAATCAGAGCAAAGCTTTTGGAATCCACCAGGCCTGGGTTCAAATCCCAGTTCCACCATTTGCTACCGAAGACTCTTTGGGCAACTTATAAACTCTCTAAGCCTTGGTTACACTCATTTTTCTGTTAACTGGAGACACCAATTTGTACATGTCACATCTGTACAGAAAGGCTAACAATATCTACCTCCTAGAGTTTTTGTTAAGGTATACTTACAGTTGTTCATATAGAAAATACTATAATAATAAATAACAATACAAGAAAAAGCTGTGTTTCACAGACTCACAACTGTAAGCCTACTTTTGCCCCACCCTGTATAAGTGGTAACAGAGACCTTGACATAAATTCATGCAACTGTGTGTGTGTGTGTGTGTGTGTGAGAAAGCAGTGGTTTGGTTTTCAATTTGGGCGATTTGCCCCAGAGAGAATATTTGGCAATATCTAAAGACATTTTTGTTTGTCAAAACCTAGGGTGATGGGTGTTACTGGCACCCAGGAGGTAGAGGACAGGAATTCTGCTAAACTCCTTACAGTCTCCCCATGACTAACAGTTATCTGGCCCAAAACATCAATATTGCTCTAAGTGCTCTAAGGCATAATTTTCATGGCTATGTTTGTAATATTAGCTAGTTACTGGACACTTTGGTACCCAAGTAAGAAAAATAAAGTATTTTTTATCATAATCATCATTATATCATTAATTTGGTGAATCCCTTTTGGGTTAAAGGAAGCCAAGAGGTTCCCAATCTGCTGAGCTAATTCTCTATTCAATATTACATTAATTAATATCAACAATAGTTGTTTTCCTGAACCCTTATTTCTGCCAGTGCTTTTTAGGATGAATGAAACTGCAACTAAGAGATATAAAGCCAGCAGCATAAGGGGTAGGGAATAAAAATTAAACATTGTTGAAAGCCAAGGCTGTTTGGAGGCTCAGAAAGAAACAAAACTGGCCTAAGACAATTGTGTGTACCATACTGTCAGTTCCCATGCCAGTTAGAGCCTCCGGAGAGCAACCAGCTCGACTGGTTTCTGAAAATCACTCGCGCACAGATCAGCGGCTCCTTCCTTCCCCTTTCTCCACTCTCACAAGCTGAGGGCCCCGTGGCAGTGGTTTCCAAACTTGTCTGCATGTTGGAATCACCTGGGGAGCTTCAAAAATCCCACAGGGACTGTGATCTAGTCTGTTGGGTAGGGTGGAGGGGAGGAGTGGCCTGAGCTTTAAAAAAATTCCAAATTTTTAAAGGGTTTCCCAGATTTTGCTCCGAAGTCCAGTCTGGGAATCACTGCCCTAGGAGGCAGGAACAAGCATGGATCTTCATCTGCCTCAAACGAAGAAGTAGCTTTTCCAAGAGTGATGAATGTGGACTTGGCAAGAGTGTTTCTTGCTCTGAGCTGTGCGAGCAGCGTAAAATCAAACCCAAAGGCCGATTGTATTATTTATTTCAGTCACTCAATGAGCATTATTAACTCAATCAGGCATCGGGCCAGCAGTGGAAATGCGATTCTCCAGAATTCATCTTCACCACCCCAAAAAAATACCATTAAATCATCAGAACCATTGCTTGTTGAGCTCTTAAGATGTCCCGGGAAGTCAGCCCGGCCACGTGTTTGAGAAGGTCCCAGGGTGCCGCTGTTCAATGGGTGCACATAAGCCATAAATTAACTGCACCCCCAGCCTGGTTCTCTCTGTAATACGACTTCACGGTGCGTCTTTCTCATGCTCTCTTCAGTCTGTAACTTAAACAGCTGTTTTTGCTGACTTGTTTGATGCTGGGAAAGCCAGGAACGATGCCTGTCTTGGTCACCACTATATCCCCAGTGCCAACCCCCTGCTCATTACTTTGCTGACCCACAGTCATTACTGGGAATAAATGAACAAGTACTGGAGTTAAAATTCATGAAGCACCTGGCCTTCTCAGCCTTCTCTATACCTTTGCAAACCACAACCTCAATCAAGATTCTTTGCTAAAGGTTCTCCGAACTCCTCTAATAATTGTGCAGGTGATTATGTGGAAATACAGCATATGATCAAGAAGCATCCCCCCCCCACACCTGAACAGAGACCTAACAAGACCTAACAGCAAAGGACAGGGTGGCAACTTAGCTCATGTGAGTGCAGAGGTAGAAACAAGCTTGTAGACTATTGATTTAAAACCACTGTCCTGCACAGGGTTTTAGAAGCAGATCACATGCTACTCCTGAGAGGCACTGCCCAGCATTGAAGACCCTTGACCGCCTCCAGATCCATAAGGCACTGTGACAGGAAGCTGACGACATACTACAAGCTCCTGTTGATCCACATGAATGAATTCCTTGATTAGTCCTGCCCATCATTAAAAACTCACAGTGGAAATAAGGGTTACAAATTCCTATGATAGCTAAAACTTGCACTGTGTAAAATTGTATAATTATTGCACTCTTTTATTATCACCTGGATTTTCATTCAATATTTTCCTGCTCAAAAATGCTTCACCCTTTTGGGGGGGATTTATTTAAAAAAATTTTTTTTTCAGTTACAGTTTATGTTCAATATTATTTTATTATTCAGTATTAGTTTAAGGTGTACAGCATAGTGGTTAGACAAGCATGTACTTTACAGACGGTCTACCTAATGTTTTCAGTACCCACCTGGCACCGTAGGTATTTATTACAATATTATTGACTATATTCCTTATGCTGTATTTTACATCCCTGTGACTATTTTGTAACTACCAATTCTTTTTAAAAAGACTTTTTTCTTATAAAATTCTAGAACGTAAAATGTTCTGCCAATGTCCGTTCTTAGATCTCTAGATTGTATCAATTAGCAGGTTTGTGTATGTGTTTTCTTTTCTATCTAGATATGCAACTCACAAATGAAAAACATGCCGAAGAGAAACCCATTAATGCTATCGTTATAAATTCAGTATCCGAATTCAGCATCACAGATGGGCCAGCCAAGGAAACTTCCACTGAGAAAAAACTGTCAGAATCCACCACCTCACTGCCCTCCCTTGAAGAATGTCAAACGAAATTTTCTTACCTCCAAACCGATGCTTCAGTTCATCAGAGAGACACTGATGGTATGTTTCTCAGAATCAACCCATCTCTAAAGAAAGCTCCCCAACCCCCAATCCCTATAAAAGTACCACATATGCTGTTAGGGAAAAAAAGCTTTATGAATATTAAACAGGAAGACTTTGATTTGCAAGCCCTGGTGAATGACACACGTCAAGGTCACTTTGCAGTTACAAGGTGCTTGGCAGATCGTTTGCTCTCTAAGATGGGAATCAGAGGCAATTGGTTTTAAAGAGCTGGTGTGAGGTATAATCATCTTTGCTGTGGGGCTATGAAGCAGTAAAGAAAAGCGGCAACTTCCCTTTTTCAGACCTGGGGATGTGTAGGTGGAGAGGAGAAGGCAGAGGGGAATGGTATTGAAATGCTGGGAAAGTATAAATATGGACTATATAAAATATCGAGATGCTGACATTGGCAACCTGTGAAAGGGGTGTGTTCCTTTAGGTAATATCACTTCCTAAGCATTCTGATCAGTGCAAACCTGCACCAGACCATTCCTGTATGTCACAAAAAGGCACATTCCATTTGCAAAGACAATTTCACATTGATTTGGAGCTTAACAATCAGCATAGTCAAGCTCAAAGTCATGGACTCTGCACCAAGCACATACAGAATCCCATCAGTTTAACTCCTGGCTCTGAAATTTATTAACTGTATAAAACTGGTTTTTTTACCATCTCTGAACCTTAGTCTCTGGGTTATATGGTGGGGCTCGTCACACCCCACCAGGAGTTTGGAAGGTCGCTGAAATAGCAGATACACAGTAGCCAGTAGAGAATCTGCTACATACTGTACGTTCAGCTTTCGTTTTTATAATGATTACAGTTTTAGAAAGTAAGGGAAGAGGAGCTCTCTAACACGCCTTATTCTGTGGTGTGTTGTGCGGATGTTGTCTGGGCGCTGCCGACAGCTGCCCGCGGTCGCCGGGGGACAGTGGGAATGGCGAGGAACCGGGGCCCCGAGCCCGCCGCTGCGCAGGAAACGCAGGCCCGCCCGCCAGGCTGGGCGCCGGCTCCCTGAGCCCCTGCGTGTTCGCAGCAGGCGTTTCTTCCAGAAGCTCTGGGCGGCTTTAGGCGGCAGGCGGCCGGGTCATGGCCCGGGGTCCACGGGAGCCCGCGTTCCCGGAGCTTCAGCGTCTGATGCAAACGCGAGCGCAGGCGGCACAGCAGAGGCCTCGCACCTCAGACAGTGTCAGGGACGCAGGGCCTCCTGCGCGGGTCCTGGCGTCTGGTCCGCGCGCTG